AAAAAAAAAATAAAAATAATAAAATAATAAAGACACCAGTCAGATTGGATAAGGGCTCACCCTAATGACCTCACTTTAATTTAATTATCCCTTTAAAGACGATCTCCAAGCACAGTCATGTTCTGAGGTATTGGGATGCAGGACTTCCACATACGAATTTCGGAGGACACAACTGAGCCTCTAACGCAGCCCATGCTTATTTTGCAAGTGCTGAGTTCACATGGGCTCCAAGCCACGCTAACAGAGCACACTTTATATTGAGAAGAGCTCTGTCTAGAAGGGAGGCTGAAAGAAAAATCAACGAAGACAGCCTCTTGATTGTTGTCTTCAAAAGAAAGAACCAGATACAATAGTTGAGACAATTAGGTCTGAATCCAGCTGGCCTCCCATACTTTATTTTTGAGAATGCCCTTCCTATATCACATGGGGGACAGAGCCAGCGCCAAGGCCAATGACAGCATGGGTACAGGGAGGCCAGGAAGGAGGCTAAGGCAGCAGTCCATAAGAGAGATGGACATAACTGGCTTAGAGTAGTGGCAGTGGGAGATGTGGGGTTATGTTGTCCTAGGGTAATTAAGATTTTTTTTTTTCAAAAGATGGAGTGGCTCACATCAACAGCTGTGATGTCTTTCTGCAACCTCCCCAACAGACTTCTGTACCTTTCCTAGGAACAGAACTGCATTTCTATACTAGGGCAGAGATTCCATGGTATGAGGAGGAGAGGCCCTTTCCTCAATCCCAGGAGCCGGTAAACCCATTCCCTTTTGCCAGAAATTGGTTTAGGATGGACATGAGATCCATTTCGGACCAATGACACGTATAGGGAAGTCTTCCTTCCCAGGACAAAAAGCATCATTAGGAGAAAGTTTTTGGCTTTCCTTGTCCCTTCTTTCTTGTTTGGGGGATGTTTGTGTGAGAACATGATGACTGAGCTGTGGTAGCCATCTTGCTATCATGAGGAAAAGGCCATGGAGATAAAAAGCCAGTCCTCTGAGGATGGAGGTCCTGGAAGAAAAGAAAAGAACATGTTCATGAGACATTTCTTTTTGTGTAAATCAGAGTAAGTTATGTTTTCATTTTCTTTTCTAGTTTTAACTTTGTTTCCTTTCTTTGGGTAGGTAATTTATTAATAAGGCTCAAAATTCGGAAAATATCAAAGAGTAAACTGAAATGCCTCTTCCACTCCTGACCCTCAACCACCAAGGTGCCCTCTCTGGAAGCAACCAATGTTACTGTTTCTGATGCTTTTCCTGGGGTAATTTACAAATATATACACTTATAGTCTCTTCCTCCTTTTTTCCATAAATGGTAGCACATTCTCTGTATATCCTTCCCCTTGCCTTTTTCATTTATCAAAATAGCTTGTCCATAATTCCATATCAGTATCAAAAAGCTCCCTCCTTAATTTTCATATCTGCTTATGCATAGTATCCCATTATATGGCTGCCCCATTTAACTAGATCTCTTTGAGGCTTTTTAATTCATTTCCAATCTTTACTATCAAAAACAATTCCAGGGGCGCCTGAGTGGCTCAGTTGGTTGAGTGTCCGACTCTTGGTTTCAGCTCAGGTCATGATCTCAGGGTCATGAGATAGAGCCCCTAATCGGGCTCTGTGCTCAGCGGGGAGTCTGCTTGAGGGTCTCTCTCCCTCTCCCTCTGCCCCTCCCCTGCTAGCATGGGTGCATGCTCTCTCTCTCTCAAATAAATAAATAAATATTTTTTTTAAAGTTCCACAATAATAACGTATATTGTTTTGCACATGTGGGAGTACTGCTATCAAAAAATTGCTAGAAATAAAATTGGGGGTCAAAAGATAAGTATATTTTATTTTGATAAATATTACCAAATAGCCCTCCATAAAGACTGAACATGAGCTATTTTTAACAGTGTCCATTTCCATATGCAAACACCAACTTTGGTGTGTTATCAAACATTTTGATCTTTGCCAATCTGAAAGGTGAAAAATGTTATCTCAGTGTAATTTTTATCTGCATTTCTTATTGTGACTGAACTTTTTCATTTCATTTTATTTTATTTTTTTAAAGATTTTATTTATTTGACAGGGAGAGACACAGCGAGAGAGGGAACACAAGCAGGGGGAGTGGGAGAGGGAGAAGCAGGCTCCCTGCGCGGGGAGTCCGATGCGGGGCTCGATCCCAGGACCCTGGGATCATGATCTGAGCCGAAGGCAGACGCTTAACGACTGAGCCACCCAGGCACCCCTGAACTTTTTCATTTTATTGCGAGTAAACACTTTCATTATGTTAAAGAGTCATTTGTAATTTACTTTCCACTGTCTGTTATCTTTCTTACTATTTTTCTATGGGACAATTTCAAAATGTTATCTTGCTATCCCTGAAATCATCTATTAAACGATGTTTTTTTCTTCACTAATTGGAAACACTGCCATTATCATAAACCAAATTTGTGTAAGAACTTGCATTTACTTCTGGATTTTCAGGTCTCCTCTTTTGATCTATCTTTTTAATCTGCTAGCACCCACAGTCTTTCAATTAATTTAGTTTATATTTTAATATCTTTTTTTTTAAGATTTTATTTATTTATTTGACAGAGAGAGAGAGATAGTGAGAGAGGGAACACAAGCAGGGGGAGCGGGAGAGGGAGAAGCAGGCTTCCCGCGGAGCAGGGAGCCCGATGCGGGGCTCGATCCCAGGACCCTGGGATCATGACCTGAGCCGAAGGCAGACGCTTAACGACTGAGCCACCCAGGTGCTCCTATATTTTAATATCTATTAGAGCTCCTTTTGATCTCCTTCTCCAGAATGTTCCTATGTTTTCTTACTTTTTTTTTTAAGATCTTTATCCATTCATTTGACAGAGAGAGAGTAATTAGATGAGGCAGATGAGTACAAGCAGTGGGAGTGGCAGGCAGAGGGAGAGGGAGAAGCAGGCTCTCCGCTGAGCAGGGAGCCCGATGTGGGACTCGATCCCAGGACCCCGAGATCATGATCTTAGCCAAAGGCAGACGTCCAACTGACCGAACCACCCAGGCAGGCCCTGTTTTCTTAATTTCTTTTTCAGAATGAATTTTAAGATCAGCTTATTTAGTACCCCTTCCCCCCAAAAACTCCTATTGATGTTTGTATTGAGATTGCACCGGATTTATAGATTACTCAGAGAGAACTAACATCTTTCTCATGCTGGTCTTCCTTTCAAGAACATGGTGACTTTTTTTTTTTTAACGTTTTATTTATTTATTTGACAGAGAGAAAGAGAGCACAAGCAGGGGGAGCAGCAGGCAGAGGGAGAGAGAGAGAAGCAGGCTCCCCGCTGAGCAGGGATCCTGATGCAGGGCTCAATGCAGGACTCGATCCCAGGACCCCAGGATCATGACCTGAGCCAAGGGCAGACACTTAACCGAATGAGCCACCCAGGCGCCCCAGAACATGGTGACTTTCTCTGTGTTGATTCCTTTTGTGTGCCTCGGTAGTGTTTTAATGTTTAATTTTTTAAAATATAGATCTTGAGTATTTCTTGCTAAGTTCATTCCTAAGTGCTTTATCTTCATAAATGCTACAGAAATGGGATCTTTTCTGACTCAATTTTTTTAACCCGGCTACCTACTGAATTCTCTTATCAACTATAATAGCTTTTCAGTTGATTCACTTGGGTTATCACCTTTAAGTCCTGTGAAATTAATCTCTACTGTCTAATTTTTATACTTCTAATACATTTTAATCTCATCAAAATACATTGCCTAGTACCTTGAGAACAATGTTAAATGGTCATGGCATTAATGAACATTACTGTCTTGATCCTGATTTTAAGGGGAATACTTTTAGTATTTCCCCATTCAGCAGGAGTTGTAATAGGTTTATTTTATTTTGCTAAGAAAATATCCATCACTTACTATTTCACTGAGGTTTTATTTTTTTGAAGATTTTATTTATTTATTTGTCAGAGAGAGAGAGCACAAGCAGGGGGTGCTGCAGGCAGTGGGAGAAGCAGGCTCCTCGCTGAGCAAGGAGCCCGATGCGGGACTTGATCCCAGGACCCTGAGATCATGACCTGAGCCACAGCCAGCCGTTTAACTGACTGAGCCACCCAGGCATCCCTCCACTGAGGTCTTAAACTTACAACGGATATTGAATCTTTACAAGAAGCAAACACATGTCATTTAAGCCTCTTCAGAGTTGATCACACTACTTTTCTCCTTAAATCTATCAGCCTGATGAATTACATAGGTCAGTTTCCTAATACTAAACTATCTTTACTTTTCTGGAAAAACCCACACTTGATCTTATTTTATTTTTCTTTTAATGTACCTCTGGAATCCTGTTTGCTAATATTTTCAGATTCTCATTAATGAACTGGGCCTATAATATTGGTCTGTTTTATGTTCCTCAAAGCTTTATAATTATATTTATATTTCTGACAGAACAGTTCATCTTAAAGGAATTATACCTTAGAGTTAACTTAGTTTAGTATCTAGAACTGCCAACCTTTCACCTCCCCCAACCCAGTGTAAACACATCCTCCATCCACGCTTCTGCTCAGCACAGAGTTATATAGTTCCGTGTTAGGAGATCATCTTCTAGGCATCTGTTCATTTTTATGTGCTTATCATGAAAAGATTTATTTGTTTCACGTCGTATACCTCTGAGATCCTCAAATTATGGACTGACAGTCAAAACACCTGTTTGATAAAGCTGCTTGTCCAGTCAAACAGGGCAATTCATGCAGAAGCCATTCCAGAGCAACAAGCCCTCAAAAGGCAATTATTTTTATACTCAAGACCCAAAGACTCCCTTTGGGATTAGTCCATTTGTAAAAAGCATTGTCCAACAGAACTTTCTATAATGATAAAAATTATTGGGGCGCCTGGATGGCTCAGTCGGTTAAGCGACTGCCTTTGGCTCAGGTCATGATCTCAGAGTCCTGGGATCAAGCCCCGCATTGGGCTCCCTGCTCGGTGGGAAGCCTGCTTCTCCCTCTCCCACTCTCCCTGCTTGTGTTCCCTCTCTCGCTGTGTCTCTCTGTGTCACATAAATAAATAAAACCTTTTAAAAAAATTATTATCTGTGTTGTCCAATATGGGAGCAGCCAGCCACATGTAGCTAAGGAACTGAATTTTATTTTAAAGATTTATTTATTTATTTATTTATTTTTGAGAGAGAGAGAGAGGGGGGTGGAGGGGCAGATCAAGAGGGAGAAAGAGTCTCAAGCTGACTCTGCACTCAGCTCAGAGCCCAACGTGGGGTTCCATCCCGGGACCCTGAGATCATGACCTGAGCAGAAACCAAGAGTCGGCCGCTCAACCGACTGAGCTACCCAGGCACCCCTGGAGAAACTGAATTTAAATTTAATTTAATTTTATATTTAAATAGCTACATATGGCTAGTGGCTACTGTACTGGACAGCACAGCTCTAACAGGTCTATGGAGAAACTGGATTCAATGAGCCTGTGGTTACCAATAGCTGAGAAGGTACAAAGAGCTCAGGCACTGAGGTATTCATGCATTCATCAAATCTCAAATATTTAACTACTGAGCACCTACTATGTGCTGCTAAACATTGTTCTAGGTATCAAAGATACAGAGCTAAACAGACGATAAGGGCACACTCTTGCTCTCATTAGATGAGGCAGATGATCAAAATAAATTGGGAACAATAAGTATTATCCTGAAAACTGAAATAGGGCAAGTGAGAGTAACTATATAGCTACTTTAGACTGAATGGTCATGGAAATCTTTTTGAGGAGGGGACATCTGAACTGAACAACCAGAAGGAACCAGTCATAGGAAGACCAAAAGGAAGAATGTTCCAGACAGAGGGAATAGCTAATGTGAAAGTGCCTAGGACCTTAGGACATTAGAGGAGTTAGGAGAATACAAGTCTAGGCTAGAGTTGGGTGGGTGAGGGTGCTCCAGATGGAGTCAGATAGTCATATCACATAGGGCTTCATAAACCAAAATAAGGAGTTTCATTATATTCTAAATTCAGAGAAGCCATTGGAAAGTTTTGAGCAAGGGAGAAGTGCAAT